GAGGTAGTGGAGAATCGAAAGCTTGTAGTTGAGTATCAATGGAGGCTCAAAGTGGGAATAAATCTGTTGGAAAACTGCACAATGGAGAGTCCATTGTTCAGGAGAAAGTTAGGACTGAAATTGACAATCTACTATGAAATTCATCACCCCAGGAAAATGGCAAGCCAGGAGGCTGACATGATTGGAATAGGACCCCACAGAGAAAGAACCAAATTTAAGAGACCACTGGAATTGATCAAATGTCTCATGAGGATATTCCCCTGCAAAAGATCTAGACCTTGCACTATTGACTGTTGGACAGCAAAAAATTATAAATAATTGGGCAGAATAAAGATTTGTCCTCTATCCACAAAACTTTGATTTTATCTTGAAGATACACACCACATCCCCGAAGTGAAGTATCTGTGAAGAGAAACTAGAGGGGCAGTAGACATTTATATACACCCCTCCCCACATATTGTATTAATTGCAATGGGACCACTGAAGGGTTAGCATGTGACCTCATCCCAAAAAATTCAAGAGATAGAACGATCCCTGTAAGTAAGAGCCTGACTGCCCATTCCATAGCTTGGGTGGTGGCTGAGCCAGGCATAAAACGTGGTGAAACTTGTACAACCCAGCAGAAGACATAAGTTGCTGATGCTAGACCAAAGGCTAAATCCGTGAACTGCAGAATCTGATCCCTGTATATAAAAAGTAGCTAAAGGTAACATTAATTCACTATGAGAATGTGAACAAATGCCTCAGCAACCACAAACTTGGTGAAGAATGCCAATGTAGGGTGAGAAAGGACTCCATTGTGGACTGGGGAAGAACAAAGGGTTGAGATGAGAGAATGACGATCGTCCACGAATCTCCCCTTGTCTCAGGTACAACAAGTAAACAGGAATAAAATCCCGGAAGAATGGGATCAATTTTCATTACCACCCCCATGATCAGTAACTCTGACAGCCATGAAACAAAAATCCACACCCCACTGGTCAGTTGGAGGTGGAAATACCACAGGGTGAGAGAATAATGGAAAGACCAAACTGGATACAATAACCCGAAGTGCCCATGGATCTGCAGTGAAAGAATACCAGGTGTCCATCAACAGTTGTAACTTCACTCTAACTGACTCCCCCACCTAGGTTGATACCAACGCGGCATTGGCTTTGTCTACCTGCTGTAGCCTCTGGGTGTTACATGTGGCTTCTTTTTATTATTACTTCATATTCATGGGTGTTCCAGAGGCGTTTCTATTGCAAATCGTCATCACCTGTTTGCTTTGTTGTTGTTGATATCTCAACCTTCTTTGGCTCTAGTAGCTGAATAGTTTCAGGACCACTCTATTTGGGTCAATCCCTTTACCACGGTATCTCTACAGATGGAACAGAAGGAGGCAATCTGACCAAGGTAGAAGTCAGTAGGAGATTCGTCCACATATTAATGTGGGGACCATTAATAGGTTGCCAACAATTTGCAGGGAAAGAAACATCACAGAGCAACAATGAGGGGCAAACAAATACTAAAAACAATAATTTTGGTCTGTGGAATTGAAAAAATATGTTCCCCTGAAGGTGGAAAGCCAAAGCAATCAAACAGACAAACAATGGTGCAAGGGATATCTATCCCATCACGTAATAAAGCAGTAAATCTCTCAGCATTAACCAGAAATATCAGGCGAAGAAGGAAAAACTAAATAGTACCCCCCCCCCCCCGACTGTTCCTCTATCAAGGGAAGAGTAAACTCAAATGTCACAGAGAAAAGCACCAAAATCGCATAACCCAATTGCTTAATTGAAGAAAAGGAGTAAATGGAGGTTGATCCAAATTGGGCTTGTGAAAAGTCGACTCAGGAAAGAAAAGCATCAGAAAAACCGAGTCCAAATTCTCCCCAGCATAACCAGGATCAACAAAAAAAGGCAACATCAGAGGCTCCAGGAGAATAACACCCCGGGCCGAATGTATGTTTCCATATTCCAATGGATCAAAACAAAGACAGCCTAAACTGAGAGTGACCCCCACGACCATACAGAGACGATAGATAACAAAGGAAGAATAGGGGAGGTTGGATTAACTGCCGTGCTGACAATAGTAATACAGGAATTCATACCTGCAAGCATCATGTCCAATTGTTGTTGTTTTTTTGGTTTTTAAGGAAATTATACTAATACAGAAATCCACAATGCGATGCAAAAATTGCAATTCATAACAGAACAAACCACATAACCGTCACCAACAATTTGTCGAGAAAAAGTGATTACATTATCTGGTGAGGTGCTTATATACAGTGTTAGGATAGAGGTTGCTTTGACACAGGTGGAGGGATTTGCAAGTTAGATATTGCTAAGGGCATTTAAGTGGGTATTAAAAACTGGAGCATGCGAGACCAATTCTAATATATGCAAAACCAACATTATGGAATAGCTAAAGTGTCAGCTAAGTATTTTTTGGGGAATAAAAACATCCAAATATTACTCAGTATCTTATTCTACTCCAGGCATATCCCACATGAATGAACTGACAACAATCTTTAGATATGTTCTAGATGATAGGTCTGTAGAGAGATTTGCCATATTCTTATCAATAAGCAATCACAGAGAAGCAGAACTTGCTAGAATTCCTATTAATTTCCTTGAAAAGAATGATATAAGAATTCAAAATTGCCATGGGCAAACTTACAACAATGCATCCAATATTAGTGTCAAATATGTTGGTATGCAAGCTTTGATCAAAGAGAAAAAACCCCTAGCAGGCTATGTTCCCTGCTGTACTCATTCACTCAATTTGGTTAGCCAGTGCACTGTGGACTGCTGTACTGAAGCTTGTTTATTCTTTACCTTTGTACAGAAGCTTTATGTGTTATTCTCAGTTCCAACCTGCCTGTGGAAGCACCCAGATGATATGCTTCAAAAACTAAGATTCCCAATGATAAAGATGTTATGATACACAAGATGGAGAACCCATTCAGATACAATGCAAGTCCTTGCTTCCATTACAAATAATGACTCTGAAAAGTCTCAAGTGTGCTTAGAGCAAGAAGCATTATGCTACAATTGGTATCTAGAAACAGGTATAATGAGGGAATTATGCAGAATTATCATGGAGAGGTTTCACAAAACAAGTTGTTCATTACAAAACTCCCAAAAGGATGTCAATACGGCTTCTCATATCCTAAAATCTCTCAAGATATTCATGCAGGAATTACAAGATTCATTGCATGAATATAAGAAAAAAGGGTAAACAATTGTCAGAATGCAAGATTTATAAGGTTGAAAGATCAAGGAAAAGAGAAATATGTGATGGGATGATGGGGATGCTGAGGACAGTGATTTTTCACCCTCTACTCAATATAAAGTTCAGACTTACTTAAGAGTAAGTGACAAATTGTCACTTGCACTAGACAACAGAATAGTGACATCAAGGAAAAGAGAAATATTTGATGGGATGATGGGGATGCTGAGGACAGTGATTTTTCACCCTCTACTCAATATAAAGTTCAGACTTACTTAAGAGTAAGTGACAAATTGTCATTTGCACTAGACAACAGAATAGTGACATTTGTCCAAATGCAAATTTTGTTTGTGTTAGCACACCACTTTTCCTATTCAAGAAAAATCTAACATTGTTCATTAATTTGTAGACAGGGCTTGCAAATCTGTAGGTATCATTTTCCCCTTGTCTTCAACAGAAAAAGCTATTTTGAGGTTTAGGTTTTTTTTGCCTTAGTCGTTAGTTGCAATCATACTAGATCTGGTAGAAAAATTTAGCCCCAGGCTCATCTGTCCTTCAATCCACCCCTGGTAAATTATACGTCATCTTAAAAACAGTATTGTATTTATTACTTAATTATAAAAATTAGTCTCAAACTTTCTGACATGTTGTTAGCATGAACAGTTACAGTCCACTGATACTGGACTATAATTATCCCAAATGGTCCAAAATAAAACACATGTATAAAATTGCTTTGTTGTGTTTCATATTTTTAAGTAGACCTCTAAATGCTATTGTTGATCATTTTCATAATTAGACCTTAAAATTTACTGATAATTAGATTTACTTATGCAAAGAATATTTTTTCCATTTCTAATAGAATAAAACAATGCATAACAAACTTATTTCTAACTGTTAAACAACATAACTACAATGGATACATTTTTAAGAGTATACTTCTTACTAATGCCAGGGCTCTTTTGTTTGCAATGTATACTTACCTCTATAATGTGTAACAAAAAAACTATTAAAGTTATGAACTATAGCTAATATTGCAAACTTTGTGCAAACAAAAGATGTAATACTTTAAAAGAAAAAAACATCATATGCAAAAACCCATAGCATGTTATCTAAAGCATGTACAGTAAATCTATGAAATAAGCTTCTTTCATAGAATTAAATGTACTTAGTTAATGCTAAAAAATAAAAGTACGAGAAATTTACATTAATTAGTTAATAGCCTAATTAGCATGTAAGATAATTGTTAAAGACAAACCTTTAGTTGACTTCTTATGCACAAAAATCAAGTTCATTATTTATTAGAGAAAAGCAACTAAAATAAACTCAAGTCTAAACGAGTTAATGAACTACAAATTTGTCATATATATAGTAATTAAATATATTTACAAGTATTTAATTACATGTTTAGACATTAGATCCAAAACAAATATCAATGAGCCTTAAATACTGTACTTTAAAAAAATCAACCACTTTTGAAGTTATTTTTGAAATATTATATTTCCCACACTAAGGCTGCAAGTAAAATTGGTATAGCTAAGAAGTAATGTGATGTTTGAATTTTACAGGGAACAATCATCTTTTATCTTTATTTGTGTGTGTAAATTACAACTAAAAACTAATCAATGACAAAAAATGATAAAATTACTGAAAAAAGCCAATTTTCTCACCATCATAATGAGAATAGTTTTTGTGCAATATACAAGATAGATAATTTAGATACAATTTCTCTATCTGTATAAATGTAATGTAATCTGTGAAGTAGCTTATTCAAAGACAACTGCTTCTTATAAGCAAATGAAATATTTTATTTATTCCACATGCTTCTGAAGATTCAGAGCTGATTTTGACCTCAGTTGTCTGAGACTATTTACTCGCTGGTCAAGTTCAGCTGCTTCCTGTTGAGAATACTGTAAACTACTAAGAGGAGGATGTAGTTTTGGAAGTGAGCCCACTGTTGTCCTAATAAAGAACAAAAGAAATTTACTGATATATTTAATGCCGTAAAAAGAACTTCAAAGCATTATGAAGTAATATGAAAAGTGTACAAGGTTTATTAGCAAGCAATTACCATTTTATATAAATGTCAAATAATTATTTTTAAAATTTGAAAATGGTAAGAGGTATAATAATTTGCAT